GCCTTGTATGAAATTATATAATATAAGCCCTCAGAGTCTTAAAGCACATCCTACTGGGAAGATTGATGGAGTCTGAAGAGCTTAGACCAATTGTCGCTTCAGCCGAATTACATCTTTTATGCCTGCCCAGTCCTCCTACTGCAAGTCTAACAAGAAGGAGGTGATATAGCATACAAGCCGTTAGCCGAAACCAAGCCAGTTCGTTGAACTAAGGCTGGGTCAAAGCGGCCATTTCATGGTTCCATTCAACAATTTCGCCTCGCAACACCACCAAAGAAAGCACAAAGGTAAAAAGGCAGTAGAAAGAGACTAGACGCTCTTCATGAACATGCCTGACATGTGCCTTGACGGTCTGCCGGCTGTTAGAGGCAAGCAATGAAATGAAATCAGGACATCACGAAAGCCAGTGCCACTTAATGTCATATTATGTTTGCAACATTGAGTGCAGAAAAGTAAAACAACAACCAGACTTTGGGTAGAAACCCCGCCGCTGCCTCTTGTATTCAGGCTGAAGGACGGTAGTGCCAACCTCATACAAACTTGAATCGTTTGCAGCATTTATTCAATTAGGGAGGTTGAGGCGCTGGCCGTTCAACCTTAGAGCGATCAAGTTTGCAAAGCTGTAGTTCAGACCAGGTCTGCTGTGACCATTGCCATCCATTGTCATTTTTGGATTTTCAGCTCAACAGGTGTCTACCAACCACTGGCATCCACTGGCGTCCACTGGCGTCCACTCCCATCTCATTGTCCATCTCATTGTCCAACTTCTGGTGGAACGCGGGCCTTCTCATTGAAGGAAAAACCCTTGTCCTCTCGCCTGTGGAGAACCGCTAAGGATTCAAGAGAGATCTTCTGGCGCTGGAATGTGCTGAAAACATGCTTATTTTCTCGCGGAACCAGACTAGACTATAACCAATGCTCTGAGAGAGAACGTAACTGCTCGCACAAACATGCTCGGAATCTTCTCAGCTTCCAACTCTCTGGGGGCATCAGGAGCTGCGAAGCCAATGAAACCGGAGAGCCCTTCATCCCCGCAAATTGGAATGGCCATTGAAAGCATGATGGCGTGCCAAATTGTATTCACAAAAAGTAAGACTCTGCAGCAAGTAAGAAGAAAATCCGTGCACCGGTTGTCATCATTGGACCTGGGAAAAAGCCCCCCTACATTAAACGATACAGGCGAGCAACCTGCAAACCACGAGATGAAGCCGGAGCCTTGCAAGAAAACCATAGTGTGGCAACACAGCCATTGAAGTGACGTTGAAGAAGTGCCACAAAATCCCTTTACTGGAAATAGATGTTGCACTGCTGCTACCACTAAGAGGTGAAAAGCTGAGCTTAAAGGATGCAGAAATTCAAAATGCGTGCCCTTGATCTATAGTGACGGACAATCACTTAGAACGTTAAAAAAAAATCCAAAAAAAAAATTTGCACTTAGAACGTGGCACGAAACCAACACTTAGAATCCATCACCTAGAACGTAGGGAGGCCAATTCAACACTTAGAACGTAAAACCAACACTTTGAACGTGCTAAGTGATTGTCCGTCGCTATATAAACTATTTTGTCGATTTCAAAATCAATTAAATTTCCTTATATAACGCAATTAAAAATATTGCCACAAATTCGATTTCGAAGCGGACCCTAATAATAAATTTAAACCCTGAATAAGAAAGACTATTTTTTCGATTTCAAAATCAGTTAAGTTTCCTTATATAACGCAATTAAAATATTGCCAAAAATTGGATTTTGAAGCGGACCCTAATAATAAAATTAAACCCTTATTAAAAAAACAAGTTTTTTCGATTAAATCTATTAAGTTTCCTTTTATAACGCAATTAGAATATTGCCAAAAAATAAGATTTCGAAGCGGACCCTAATAAATTTAAACCCTTAATAAAACAAAACTATTTTTTTCGATTCAAAATCAATTAAATTTCCTTATATAACGCAATTCAAATATTGCCACAAATTGGATTTCGATGCGGACCTAAATAATAAATCCAAACCTTTAATAAGAAAAACTATTTTTTCGATTTCAAAATCAGCTAAATTTCCTTAAGTAACACAATTAAAATATTACTTACCAAAAATTGGATTCCGAAGCGGACCCTAATAATAAATTTAAAACCTTAATTTTAAAAAAACTATTTTTTCGCTTTCGGAATCAATTGAATTTCCTTTTATAACGCAGTTAAAATATTGCAGAAAATTGGAATTCGAAATGGAATCGAAATTATGTCTATGTTTCCTACGGAATTAGCTGCTAAATCCAACACTTAGAACGTCAGAATCCCAAAAAGCACCAAAAGGATCCAAAAGGGATAGTGTTCCAGAGATAAAAGATCGCCAATATTTGCAAATCATATGGGAGAGAAAAGCCAAATGGTACGAAATTATGTCTATGTTTCCTACGGAATTAGCTGCTGAATCCAACACTTAGAACGTCAGAACCACCAAAAAGCACCAAAAGGATCCAAAAGGTAGTGTTCCAGAGATAAAAGATCGCCAATATTTGCAAATCATATGGGAGGGAAAAGCCAAATGGTACGAAATTATGTCTATGTTTCCTACGGAATTAGCTGCTGAATCCAACACTTAGAACGTCAGAACCCCCAAAAAGCACCAAAAGGATCCAAAAGGTATAGTGTTCCAGAGATAAAAGATCGCCAATATTTGCAAATCATATGGGAGGGAAAAGCCAAATGGTACGAAATTATGTCTATGTTTCCTACGGAATTAGCTGCTGAATCCAACACTTAGAACGTCAGAACCCCCAAAAAGCACCAAAAGGCATAGTGTTCCAGAGATAAAGAACGCCAATATTTGCAAATCATATGGGAAGGAAAAGCCAAATGGTACGAAATTATGTCTATGTTTCCTACGGAATTAGCTGCTGAATCCAACACTTAGAACGTCAGAACCCCCAAAAAGCACCAAAAGGATCCAAAAGGTATAGTGTTCCAGAGATAAAAGATCGCCAATATTTGCAAATCATATGGGAGGGAAAAGCCAAATGGTACGAAATTATGTCTATGTTTCCTACGGAATTAGCTGCTGAATCCAACACTTAGAACGTCAGAACCCCCAAAAAGCACCAAAAGGATCCAAAAGGTATAGTGTTCCAGAGATAAAAGATCGCCAATATTTGCAAATCATATGGGAGGGAAAAGCCAAATGGTACGAAATTATGTCTATGTTTCCTACGGAATTAGCTAGAACGTCAGAACCACCAAAAAGCACCAAAAGGTATAGTGTTCCAGAGGTAAAGACCGCCAAGATTGGCAAATCATATGGGAGGGAAAAGCCAAATGGTACGAAATTATGTCTATGTTTCCTACGGAATTAGCTGCTGAATCCAACACTTAGAACGTCAGAACCCCCAAAAAGCACCAAAATGCATAGTGTTCAAGAGATAAAGAACGCCAATATTTGCAAAACATATGGGAGGGCAAAAGCCAAATGGTACGAAATTATGTCTATGTTTCCTACGGAATTAGCTGCTGAATCCAACACTTAGAACGTCAGAACCCCCAAAAAGCACCAAAAGGATCCAAAAGGTATAGTGTTCCAGAGGCAAAAGATCGCCAATGTCAAATCATATAGGAGGGAAAAGCTAAATGGTACGAAATTATGTCTATGTTTCCTACGGAATTAGCTGCTGAATCCACCACTTAGAACGTCAGAACCCCCAAAAAGCACCAAAAGGTAGAGTGTCCCAGAGGTAAAGACCGCCAAGATTGGCAAATCATATGGGAGGGAAAAGCCAAATGGTACGAAATTATGTCTATGTTTCGTACGGAATTAGCTGCTGAATCCAACACTTAGAACGTCAGAACCACCAAAAAGCACCAAAAGGATCCAAAAGAAGTGTTCCAGAGATAAAAGATCGCCAATATTTGCAAATCATATGCGAGAGAAAAGCCAAATGGTACGAAATTATGTCTATGTTTCCTCGGAATTAGCTGCTGAATCCAACACTTAGAACGTCAGAACCACCAAAAAGCACCAAAAGGATCCAAAAGGTATAGTGTTCCAGAGATAAAAGATCGCCAATATTTGCAAATCATATGGGAGGGAAAAGCCTAATGGTACGAAATTATGTCTATGTTTCCTACGGAATTAGCTGCTGAATCGAACACTTAGAACGTCAGAACCCCAAAAAGCACCAAAAGGATCCAAAAGGGATAGTGTTCCAGAGATAAAAGATCGCCAATATTTGCAAATCATATGGGAGAGAAAAGCCAAATGGTACGAAATTATGTCTATGTTTCCTACGGAATAAGCTGCTGAATCCAACACTTAGAACATCAGAACTCAGAACCCCAAAAAAGGATCAAATGGTATACTGTTCCAGAGATAAAAGATCGCCAATATTTGCAAATCATACGGGAGGGAAAAGCCAAATGGTACGAAATTATGTCTATGCTTCCTACGGAATTAGCTGCTGAATCCAGCACTTAGAGATACAAGATTTCACAAGCCTTTCCACTATCATCATTGATTTAGACACGTTCTAAGTGTTAAATTCCCCGGTACGTTCTAAGTGATGAATCTTGATATTTGAACGTTCTAAGTGGGGTGCTTAGAACGTAGACGAATAATCGCTTAGAACGTCCAAAAAGCGTGAAATATTCAGAAAAAAATCCAAAATACGTTCTAAGTGATTGTCCGTCGCTATACCCATCTCGCATTTTGAGATAGATTTTGGGCTTTTGCAGGACGGGGCGGTAGTTACATGTGGCAGGTCGTCAGCGAGGACTGGCTCTACTCTATGCCATGGGGTGCGAAACTAGTATCTGTTGCAAGCATGAATGACGTATCTTTTAACACAGTTCACCACACGCGCCTCCTCTCGGCACTTTGCGACGGAAAATCCAAGACATAAGACCTGCCAGGTCACGTATGCGGGCTGGGTGAAGGTGCACATATTGCCCTCATGGTTCCTCCAATAGTTCCTAAAGTTCCCACAATGGTTTCTTTGCCGTATGCGTGGCCCCCTTTGCTTTTGCCGCCCTCTGGAGATCTCATGCCAATGTTGCCCCATCTTCTGCTTGCAGTGGGGTAGCACCAGTGTTACTGGGCAAGGCCTGTGAGACTGGCGAAGTGACACTGTTCTGTGCGTCCTTCTCTGCTTTTTCTTCTGGGTTCTGAGCATGTCGTGGGGACGGTGGTTTGCTGAGATGTGCCAAATGGTAGGCTTGACCAGCAAATGGCCTGAACGGCTGCACCCCTGGGATGTCCACCTGGACCACCTCAGCATTATGACTCCGTGGTCGCACAAGTTCACGAAAGAAACGCATCGCCAAAGCAGCCCCTGCCATTGCGAAGAGAATGGTTGTTCCAGAGGAGATTATGGCAACTGCCACCTCATCCATCGGGTCTTCATGGTAGTGATGGGAGTGACGCTGGTGGACATGAGACTCATGCTGACTGACGACAGCTCCATCAGATCCTTCCATGAATTCATCATCGAAATCAGGGGTTTCCGAAAGCCCAGCAAGCTGCACGGGAGTTCCATCTATCCACCTCCATATCCATCCTCTGGGGTGTATCCTATGAGATGGGGTTTGAAGGAAACTTCCAAGTTCCGCGTTCTTGCGGAAGTGGTGAAAATGAATGATCCATGGCTCTTGTGGGGCAGAGTCGGCATGAGCCGTGGCTTCCCAGCCAAGAAAGTCACTCCCGCGGCTCCGGCCCATTGGCACGGGCTTGCCGTGGTTCTCACTGAGTGTTGAGCTGATGGTTTGGGTAAAGATTTGCAGCACACAATTGATTCCATTTTGCAATGGAATAGCCCTGATTCCCAGCAAATAACAGATGTGAAGCAAACTACAAGGAGCGCATGCGTTCAGGCACTCTCTCGTCACTTTTGAACACACATATTTGAAATTTCAGTTTGGACGCGCCTTTCTTCTGCTGTCTGTAGCTGCGCCAGCGTGCCAGACTGGAACAGAATCAATGAGATACAGCCCCTTTCTGCGTGCTGTGTTTACCATTAGTTTTCGATCAGTGATGACCTGCACGGGAAGGATGTCTTGCAGTCGCCGCCCGACGGCCTCTACCAGAAATGAATTCCTACAGGTAACCAGCAATGAAAAGTGGCATTCGGTTGGCCATCTCTTCACTGACTTTCCCCAGATGCATGATGCACACACAAACAAACAAACAAACAAACAAACACCCAACAACATTGTTGCATGCCTAACTGCTTTGTGGACAATTTTTCATCTCTTGAAGCTCAGAGCTTGTGATTCAAGTTTGTTGACGTCATGCCGCTTGTTGTCTCTACTTTGGTCACAGCCAGCCAGACCTCAACCGTTGCAAGACCCGTTTCCTGCCATCGCCGTCACTCTGACGCGCTACATCAAGCCTTGACTTCTTGGAAAGATTGTGAATCATAGAATTTCTATCTATCTATCTATCTATCTATCTCTATCTCTATCTCTATCTCTACATCTACATCTACATCTACATCTACATCTATCTATCTATCTATCATCCCCGTTCAGATTGGACCCGAGGGGTTGGGAGCCCCATTTTGTAGCTACAGAACGGCGTCCCCAAGGTGCCCTTCTTACAAGTTGGCAGAACCCAACGTTCACCGAGGAAGGTTTTTGTTACAAAATGGCAGTCCAAGCTGACCCCTAGTTACAAAATGACTCACCGATTTTGCTCGACTCGCATCCGCTCGCATCCGTTGGCTCGATTTGCCCTTTACAGAATGGTGGGGACTGGGGGTGGCTATACTCGCACTATCCTAGGATCCCTGGGAAGTAACCTGCAACAGCCCGGCCAACCTGAGTCGCGGTTCATTTTTTCCGTTCTTTTGCGTTCATCCGTCTGTTTTGGCGTGACACTGTCTGAGTGGCCAAGCTAAACATTAAATACAACGTTGGATGTCATAATCAAAAAATATAAATATCGATATATATATATATATATGTATCTGTATATGTATATATTATCTGACCCCTAGTTACAAAATGAGTCACCGATTTTGCTCGACTCGCATCCGCTCGCATCCGTTGGCTCGATTTGCCCTTTACAGAATGGTGGGGACTGGGGGTGGCTATACTCGCACTATCCTAGCATCCCTGGGAAGTAACCTGCAACAGCCCGGCCAACCCGAGTCGCGGTTCATTTTTTCCGTTCTTTTGCGTTCATCCGTCTGTTTTGGCGTGACGCTGTCTGAGTGGCCAAGCTAAACATTAAATACAACGTTGGATGTCATAATCAAAAAATATAAATATATCGATATATATATATATATGTATATATATATATATTTTATATTATATATATAATATTTTATATATATATATATCATATATATATATATTTAAATAGATGTGATGTGACTCATCTCGAGCATTCATGACCACTCAGACGCATCAGACTTTTCAAGGCCTCTCCCAAGCCCTGCACCCAAGGCTATGAAAATTATTCTGTGATTTTTTGATTCCATCCAGTTTGTAGGGGCTATAGTTGAGTATTATCCATTTACGCTTTGAATCCATCCAATTTGTAGTGGTTATTGATTAGCCCTCCAGACTCCGACAGAATGGTCGGGACTGGAGGGTAACAAACTCGCACTTCCAATGCAAAATTCCGGTACCAGGGGGGGGTCCACTTACAAGATGGCAGAACCCAGGGTCAAAATTTTGCACAAAATGGTAGCCAAAAACCATTCTGTAATGGCCCTGAGGCCTCAGATTTAGTAACAAAAATTTCAACGGGTATTATCTATCTATCTGTCTGTCTTTCTATCTATCTATCCATCCATCTATCCATCCATCCATCTATCTATCTATCTATCTATCTATCTCTCTCTCTCTTTCTCTATCTATATCTACATCTATCTATCTACCTATCTCGGTTGATTTCCTGCAACTTCCTAGCCTAATACAGCGAGCATGGAGAGAAATTTGCTTCGAATTTTCTCTGTCTCTCTCTCTCTCTCTCTCTCCCTCTCTCTTTCTCTTCTCTCCATCGCTATCTCCAGGACTAGCCAAAGGCTAAACACGAGCATGAGCCAGGATTGAAGGCACCTGACTAGCTGCGTTGTTCCAGACCTGCGCACGCAAGCAAAAGCTTGACATAAAAATCATTATTACTCACTGCTGCTTGTGCTTCCTGGAATAGCCATGGAATCTGGACGGGGCAAGACAACTAGACCAGAGATTCTGAATTCACGAGAGCTCTGAATCACCTCGTCGAAGTTTTCAGGCTTGTTTGCCATCACGTGCCCTCCTGCACTCACCCGCTTTCTCGCAAACAGACCTGCCCTAAGACCCTACGGTAGGCACAATGATATTTAAGAAGGGAGACACCCCTGACCCACCACAGGATGCACAAAATCTTCAACTAGACTAGAAGAGATAGAGCGACGGAGAGGCATGTACACACACAGATATTGTACAATAATACATATAATTATCAAAGGAGTTGGAAAGCAATACTTCCGTGTTACGGACAAATAGAATTGTGAGACTCGACATTGATGAAGGGCGGTGTGAAGCTTGACATCACATAACCAAACATCACAAAAGAATAGTAGGCTATGACAAGGGCGGTGTGAGACTTGACATCACATAACAATACATTACAAAAGAGTAATAGGACACAGGGTGGTGACGAAAGATGACGAAAGGCACTGGTGACCTAGGGAAATGGTGACGAAGCGAAGTGGTGAGGAAGGGAAGTGGTGCGAAGGGAAGTGGTGACGAAGGGAAGTGGTGACGAAGGGAAGTGATGACGAAGGGAAGTGGTGACGAAGGGAGCGTGTTGACTTTGGGAAGTGGTGACGAAGGGAGTGTGGTGACTTTGGGAAGTGGTGACTTTTGGGAACTGGTGACTTTGGGAAGTGGTGACGAAGGGAAGTGGTGACTAAGGGAAGTGGTGACGGAGGGAAGTGGTGACGAAGGGAGTGTGGTGACTTTGGGAAGTGGTGACGAAGGGAGTGTGGTGACTTTGGGAAGTGGTGACTAAGGGAAGTGGTGACGGAGAGGTGGTGACGAAGGGAGTGTGGTGACTTGGGGAAGTGGTGACTAAGGGAAGTGGTGACTTTGGGAAGTGGTGACGAATGGAAGTGGTGAGGAAGGGATGTGGTGAGGAAGGGAAGCGGTGACTAAGGGAAGCGGTGACTAAGGGAAGTGGTGAGGAAGGAAAGTGGTCACGAAGGGAAGTGAAGATGAAGAAAATGCTGCAAAATGCATTGTAATGGCTGCATGAATGTTGCATGCTTTGTGTTGTGGGGAGGAAGCCGGAGCACGAAACCTAGGGTTTTTCTGCGTAAAGTGGCTGCAGCCGGCGATGAAAGGTACCTCGTGTGTGCGGCAGTCCGGCAGGGAACACTTGGCGTGGATACTCGCGGTTGAGGTCCGGCAGGGAACACTGGGCGGGGATGGTCGTGGTTGAGGTCCGGCAGGGAACACTGGGCGTGGATACTCGCGGTTGAGGTCCGGCAGGGAACACTGGGCGGTGATGGTCGTGGTTGAGGTCCGGCAGGGCACACTGGGCGTGGATGGTCGTGGTTGAGGTCCGGCAGGGAGCAGGAGGAGAGGAGACGAGGAGGACAACGAGAGGAGGAGGACAACGAGAGGAGGAGGACGACGAGAGGAGGAGGAGCAGGCAACTTAGATAAAATCTAACAACCCTCACCTGGCAGGTGGGGAAAAACATATGTGTCATCCCATGAATTCAATGATGTTTCATCCCATGATATTGTAATCCCATGAGATGAAAAAAATGGAATCGTAGCGGGCCCTCTTCTCTTCATATTGTTGGTTCTATTCCCATTATATTCCCATTAATCACCATTCATCACCAGTAACTCCATCATGATATTCCATCATGATATTCTCATGATGTTCACATCATGTTCTCATCATACTTGGGGGTGCATCCCACTTAGTTTGCTTGGCTCAAAAACCACCGGTTATGGACCATTTGTATATGGGATTATATGGATTACAGTATACACCACTTACTAAGTGGGATGAATGCTGCTGAGTTTTTCTAGATGTAAACAAGGGCAACACAAAGAGGAGAACAACATCAGCAGATGCTGCTGAGCCTTTCTACATGTAAACAAGGGCAACACAAAGAAGAGAAACACATCATAAATGCTGCTGAGCCTTTCTAGATGTAAACAAGGGCAACACAAAGAAGAGAACAACATCATAAATGCTGCTGAGCCTTTCTAGATGTAGACAGGGGCAACACACAAAGAAGAGAACAACATCATAAATGCTTTTGAGTCTTTCTATATGTAAACAAGGGCAACACAAAGAGGAGAACAACCTCACAAATGCTGCTGACTCTTTCTAGATGTAAACAAGGGCAACGCAAACAGGAGAACAACATCATGAATGCTGCTGAGCCTTTCTAGATGTTAACCAGGGCAGCACAAAGAAGAGAACAACATCATAAATGCTGCTGAGTCTTTCTAGATGTGAACAAGGGCAACACAGAGAAGATAACCACACCATAAATGCTGCTGAGCCTTTCTAGATGTAAACAGGGGCAACACAGAGAAGAGAACCACATCATAAATGCTGCTGAGTCTTTCTAGATGTAGACAAGGGCAACACAAAGAGGAGGACAACCTCACAAATGCTGCTGAGTCTTTCTAGATGCAAACAAGGGCAACACAAAGAAGAGAAACACATCATAAATGCTGCTGAGTCTTTCTACATGTAAACAAGGGCAACACAAAGAAGAA